TGTCCTCTGCCAGCAACGTACTGCCTCAAGTGACCACGTTATAAGAGCTTCTCGATCTTCCTTTTAAGATCAAAGTAGTCGTCAGTATCATGACCGTGATCGCGGTGGAAATGACAGTACTTGTTCGGGCTCCTCTGATTTGGGGCGGTCTTCATCTTCTCTAGCCAACATACTGTAGGATCATCCTGTATTTGGAACTAGATATGCTCCACTAGAGCATTGAGTGGTATGAAGGCTTGTCGCTCTCTCAGAGGTGGGGGGACCAAGGCGGTCCTTGACGAAGATTCTCTCTATCCTATTCCTTTTCTTCTCTACCTCCCTCCTATCTTCGTGAGTGTCCTTTTTTTCTCTCTCCTCCTCGGGAGGACTCACCTTTATGGGCTTTGGTGACATCCTTGGCGTTCATGTATTTTTGTACCCTAGACAGCAGCTCGGGTATGTTGGAGGGCATCTTCTTGAGGACGGAGAACATGAAACTAGAGGAACAAAGACTAGAGATAAAGGCAACTAAGGCTACCTTATCATCTGGCTCCTCAATCTAGAGAGCCTCCTCGTTGAAACGGGCGAGGTAGTCCCTAAGGCTTTCATCCTTGTCCTACTTAATGATGAGCAGGTGGGTCATAGGTTTCTGATGTCAGCATCCCCTCATGAAGTCGGAGACGAATGATTTACTCAGTTTTGTGAAGGAGTGGATGGTGGAGGGTTTGATCTTTGTGAACCATTGGCAAGCAAAGCCCTTCAAGGTGGTAGAGAAGGCTCTACACATAATCTCCTCAAGCACATTTGTGGAGTTACATGAGAGATTTGTATGTGTCTAGATGGTTGAAAGAGTCTTTGGTACCGTTGAAGATCTCAATGGTAGGCATCTTGAACTTCGAGGGTAAAAGGATAATTAACTATATCAGCAACAAAAGGTGTATCAGTACTTCTTACCAGGTAGTCCACAGTCTCAGGCGCCTATGCCTTGATGGCGTTGAGGGCGTCACTAAGTTAGTTTTGCATCTCTCTGATCTTCTCGTCCCATTAATTGGGTACATCCTTAGTTGGGTGGCAATACGAGCTTCCATGATCGCCATATTGGCTCTCTCCTTCGCCTTCTTCCTGTACAGGTATGTGTGGAGGGGAACACGTGAGTCCCCTCCGCGCTTAGGAGGGACTACTGGGCGAGGGGCTCCCTAGTGTGGCCTTGGGGTGTTCTGGCAAGGGGCCCCATGGTGAAGGGCTACTTGGCACCCAGAATGAATGGATTGTGGCTCCTCTCCTGTTGGAGGGAGTGGGGCTCCTCCGTAGATGATGCCTCCATGGGTGAGCATCAACTAAAGGATCTATTGATTTTGGTTTACCAGCAACTGCATGGTCTGTAAGAGTTATTGCTTGACGACAGCGGTGGCCATAGCAAATGGTTCCGAAGCTATGAGGGGAGGCAGAACCTCCTCCTAGTGGGCCGGGTTTTTGTCTCTCGGTTGTTGACTCATCGATCTAGTCGTGATTGCCATGGATTGAGAGAGAGAGTTAGAAAACTTAGTTAGTTCCCATAGACGGTGCCAAATTGATGATGTGTAAATCGGTATTAAGTAAAATCAACAGTCGAGAATGTGTAAGGGTGCAATTAATAATCAATAAACAGGAAATTAATAGCAAAAATAGTAAATATGAAATCAGCTCAAAGATATATAGTGGTTCGGTCCAGATGACCGACTCCACTCTTGGGAACGGCAGCGGTGGCCGGAGTTCTTTATTAATTAATAAAGTAACCGGGAGAATATGCTCCGGGAGTATTACAATACTTTGAGAGAGAAAGAAAGCAATGTGTGCAGAGAGATGTGTGAAGTCTCAAGGTCATGCCCTCCACGTGGAGAGGGTTTACATTATATAGGTTTGGTGAGGCGGTGAGGCGATCACTACTTTTTAGTAAGTACAGTTATAGTAAGATTAAATCTCCATAATGCGTATCCCAATATTCTCTCCGTCGTGCTCCTATTCCGTTGAAGGACGATCTTGAGCTAGGTTGGACTTGAGTCAGAGTGACAAAGTGAGGAGGGATACCACAAAGGCGGTGCGGATGAGAAGGAGCATGGAACAAAGGGGAGCCGAGGTCCCCTTGGGGTGGCCTCCTTGGGTGGCGCTCCTTGGGGTCTCCTTCGAGCATTGATGTCTTGGTCCCCCTTTGGGCCTAGTCCGGTTGATTTGGACCCCTTTTTTTATTAGGTCTAGCCTAGTAAATTTTGGGCTTATCAGACATGATTCGGGCACGAACCCGACCTAACTCATTGTATCCATTTAATCTGTTTATAGCAGTATAGTTTATCTATTATGTATGACTAATATGATCTTAATATTATTATTTATTAATTTTTGCTTCTACTATGATAATTAGCAGTATAGTTCTTAACTTTATTATGACAATATACTAGTATAGTTTTTAATTTAATTTTTGGGTTGAAACTTGAATGTATTTTAGTTAATTTTATTGATGGGATGTGATATGTTATTTGTAAAAAAATTATTTACAATTTTGAATGAATGATTGAATAATGTATTTAATGATAATGAACTGGTGTGAAAACAGATTATGTGCGTTAAACATGTTTGTGTTTTGTGTGCTAAACAAGTTAAACAGATCATGTTATGTGTGTTAACCCGAAAACGACATATTTATTAAACGTGTCAAACATATTTGATTCGGGTAACCCGTTTAATGACCAGGTCAGGTTAGTGTTTACACATCTCAACACGATAATTTAGGGGTGCAACTTAGGCGGGCTAATCTGATTTCAACCCGAGCCCAACTCGAAAAAATTAGGGCTTAGGCTATGGCTTTTAATACTTAGGTTGGGCTTGGGTCAAAAAACTCTAACTCGAATTCATTTTGGGCAGGCCTCGAGTTGACCCCTCATGCTCCCGGGTTGAATCCAAATATTAAAATCGGATTCAAACTGATTTAATATTTGGGTTCAACCTGAATATTCATAACCATAAAAATACATTTTTAAGTCTAGGGTTAATCTGTTCTAAAGTCTTCATTGTGCGCCTCCCTCACTCACTATTTAAGCAGTGAACTCTATGTTTATACAAGGATTTTGGTTGTGTTTATTTGTGTTCTGTATGGTTATAGTTGAATTATCTCAAACATTGAGTTCTTAATATTATGATTTTTATGTTAAAAATTTGATTGAAGTTGTTGATTATTAATTTAGGTGAATATTATGTAATATATATATCAGGTTTATAACAACAAGTCTATTTTGGACTCAACTCGAATTGAACTTGTAAAGTAATCCGAAATCATTAATCCAAATTCAACCCGAACCCATTCGAATTAAACTCGGGCAGAGGTAGGGTTAGGGTTAGGGTTAGAGTTGAAGATTATATACCTAGGATTAGATTATGGTTGACTGTCCAACCCGCCCAAGTTGCACCCCTACGATAATTAAACATGTCAAGTCTGGGTTTTGAGATTTTTGACACAAATTCGAAATTAACCCAATACGAAATGACCCAACTCAACACGTTTGAGACTCCTAATAAATACAAACCTTTTATCCCTAATTCCTTGTAAATTAAAAATCTATTTGATTTATATCCTACCACAACTATATAAAAGATCATGTGGTTTTATAATAATTCATATATTACCAGATTAATAATGGAAAAAATAAAAAAGAATAAAATGTTTTATTTGTATAAAACTTATTAAACAGGTTTATCGTGTTAAAATTTGATGGTTCATGTTTGATACTAAGTCGACTTATTTAATATTCATAATATTTAATCATATTATTTTTAAATTTATATTCTATTGTGTTCGAGTGTCCTCAAAAAATGTCACCTCTATCCGAGCTTAAGCATCTCCCTCTTATTCTCTCTCTCCTCAACCGCAAAATCCTCGAAGCTGCCTATGACAGAATGCTAAGTTTTCTCCTCTTAACATTCATTGTTAAATGCATAAAATATTTAGACACAACATATCAGTATCCAAACATATGTATAAGATATGTTATACTAACAACAAAAGTAATGTTAGCTCATGTGCTGAAATGATTCAATTGCCCTTGAATTCACATTTAGTTACATATTCTATAATGCTTTCTACTGTTTTTAAGGTCAATTCATGATGTCAATCTGGGTGACTTGTTGAGAACTCTAGAACAAGCAGTTAGTTTATGAGCCTTCCTTGAGGTTTCTAAATGGTGCATATTGGAGACAGACTACCAATTTGCTTTGAAAAAGTTTACACTTGTCAGCTGTTCTTAGTCATCTTACCAGCTAAGTGGAAAAGGTCATGTAGGCATTTTTATTCAAACTCATTAATATTTGTTTACCTCTTCTCCCTTTTGAAGGGTAAGAGTTGGTTAATGTTTCTCATTTTTCATACAGAAAAATTACGTTATGTACAAAATTCAAAAGCCTAGAGTTATATGTGTAACAACACGAGGAGAGGAAATTAAGCGACAATGTGATGAGTCAGTCTTGCATCGGCTGGTGAAAAGTGCCAAAAGTGCTTCATAAATACTAAGTGAAACCTATGAAAATATATCGAGTTTAACAGTGACACCACGTCACCATCTAATAAAAATATAATAAATAAATAGGTAAATTCCATATATTATAATAACTACCCTGCTATGCCATTTAATAATCATTTAAATGAGGCTCACCTTAATCATGTGTAAGTATACTATTAGATGGTGATACTATATGGTGTCACCGTTGCACCAAATATTTACTTGAAATCCAGGGGCTAAGAATTTTCAATGGATTTGTAATTTCCAAAAAGCATATACCATGAAAACTGTTTCAGGGTTAGTTAATAAATTCATTGGGAATAGAATTAAAGCCAGTCAATTTGAGCCAACTAAAATATAGAATTTGACATGGAAAGGACTAATAAGTCAATTTGATAAAAGAAAACTCATATTTTTCATTGTATAAAATACTGGAAAACATCTGTCACCCATTTTGTTACATGTAGAACCTTACTGTTCCTTCACTAGAGGGATATGCTTACTAAAATCAAGGCTGAACCCCCATCTATAAATGCCAACCTCTTCTCCTTCACAATCACTTCCTACCTCATTCCCATCCACAGATACAGAAGAATTGAAGAAGGTACACTACATCTACACACACAGTCACACACACACATTGAGAGAGATAGAGGGGGAGAGACTTGATACTTCAACAATTTCTATACTTCAAAGGATTAGGTACATTATACACACACACACACACACACACAGAGAAAGAGAGAATTGATACTTTTTCATCTTCAATACATTAGAGCACCTATCCTTCAAGGTTAGCTCTCCAATGAAGGGGATAACAGAGCCTAAGATCGAATCAGAGCCATCCAAAGCAATGCCATCATCATCATTCAAGAAGAAGTACAAAGGAGTGAGAATGAGGAGCTGGGGATCATGGGTGTCTGAGATAAGAGCACCAAACCAAAAAACAAGAATATGGTTAGGCTCTTACTCCACCCCAGAAGCTGCTGCAAGAGCCTATGATGCTGCACTTTTATGCCTAAAGGGTTCCTCAGCCAACCTTAACTTCCCAATCTCCTCGTCACAATACCTTCCTGATACCATTTTGTCCCCTAAATCCATCCAAAGAGTTGCAGCAGCAGCAGCTGCCAATAGTTTTCCAGACAATGCCAACCCACCACCACCACTATCTCCTTTCTCTACCTCGACCTCATCTTCATCAACCTCTTCGCCATTGTTGTCGTCTTCAACATCAAATCATATCGAGGATGATGTTTTGTTAGCTCCATCTCATGAAATCTACGTTCCCCCAATAGTAGATCACCTGTCATGCTCATATGTTGCTGATGAACCAATGTGCATAACTGCACCGTGGTACAACGTTGTTTCACCAACGTATATCGATATGCTTAGTGGGGTGGTGTTCGATCCACCACCGATGATTGAAGATGCATATGAAGAAGGCGATATTCGTCTCTGGAGCTTCTGCTGAATAATTCAGTCCAGATTACTCCAACCCACAAGCTATTTATTTTTTAAAATTCATTTAATGATCTTCAGTTTATGCTTGAAGATATACTGACACCGACAAAATTTCATATACTAGTGAAGTAAGTTAATTAGAAGGAAGTCATACGGAGAGAGACATATTTTTTGGACCCTCCCATGTGGGTTCCTAGATATTCAATCTATATATATTTTCTGCAAAGTGTGTCATATGTATGCTGTTTTATTCATTGTGTTTCGCTGTAATAAGAGGGCAGATAATTTTTTTTATAATAATTGGCAAAGTTTTTCTCCCTGCAGTGTTTCTTTGTGGTTTCTTTTGGCGTATTTTAAAAAAATCAAAATATTTCCCTTTTTTTTATGTTGACATAATTTCATAGGACCCATGAGTTACATATCTTAATTTAAGTGTGCATTATTGTGTATTTTTGTTTGTTCTATAAGTTACAAAGGCCAACATATAAAGGGTGGATTTTATGACAGGAGCTAATTAAGGGCTAATTAAATTACTCAACTAAATTAGACTAGGAGTTACAACTTTCATTCATCACCTATAAATAGAGGTCCATCTAGCCATTCTTAGTGTGTGAAAAACAAGGACTTTCTCATGTTTCTTTCTCTCTTTTATACTCTATTTTATGTTTTACTGGCTGGATTAAGAAAGTGCATGTGAAGTTTCTGATTGTTAGATTGTGTAAATTTAGAAAAGTTATAGTAGGTTTTTGTATTATGGAGATGGCGTGCTATGACTTTTAACATTGAACAATTTATCCGTATAGGAACACAAACCGTTTTAAAAGAAGTTATGACTTAGTCTGCGTCTCAACCCAAATTGTATATTTTATTGGGTATGAAATCTTCTATTATCTCCAGTAGAGGATAATCAAGGTAAGAGTGATAATCTTTTTTACTATTTTTGTTTTCTAATCCTTACGGATTAATGTTTATTTCTAATTATTTTGGATCTAGTTCCAAGAATTTCTTTATCATGTCTAGTTGCAAGGAAGTCCAACTAATAAACACGCTTTCAATATCAATCTTGGAAGGACATATTTCTTGGGAGTAATGTTAATTGAACTTAATTTATTTATCTAACTTCTTGTTCTAATTATTCACTGTAATTGGATTGACAATAGGTTTCAGTAGTATTTGGGATCTGCTAATAATCTATTGGTTGTAATAAACTAAGTTAATAAATTATGTCATAAAAATATTTCCAAATACTTTGGGAGATCAAATAGAGCTTGATTAGTTTATCCTAGACAAAAAATAAACAACATAACCAACGGTAACTCTATTTCTTTTTATGGATAAAAGTTTGAATTTCTATTGTCAATTGCATGGCATCGTGTATGAGAACGGAAGTAGATGGGATGTGGAACCTTGAAAGCGTTGATAACATGTGGTGTTCGTCCGTTTTGGGTTTTTTTGTTTTTGTTTTTTCTTTGGGTGTGTGGTGTTTTTTTTTTTTTTGGGGGGGGGGGGGACCTGTTCGTGTGTGCTTGAGACAATGCTGCAGTTGATAAATTAAGAAGAATTGAGACATTAAATCAGACCTGTGCATCCATTCAAGTGACAGGTTGCAAGTTTGAGTTTAGCAATGAGAAAAGAATTATTTATTATTTAGCTCTTTTAAAATATTCCATCGGGAAAATAGCAACAAAAAAAATCCATCGCGCATTTGGTCCGATCTTTGTATTGTTTTTCTTTCTTGTACCAATGCATATCAAGAACGCATCAGGCGTAAAGGGAAGAGTGTTTATGAGATTATTTTTATTTTTATTAATATTCTAAATTTTAATTTAAAATTTATTATTTTTATTTTTTGAGATTCAAAAGTACTAAGTAATTTTTTTTATCCAAATTATGCAAACATAATTTTTGAATGGGTAAATTACATCCACATCCTTCAGGTTCGATTAAATAACAATTAAACCCCCTCTTGTTTGAAAAATAACACTGCCCTCCCCTCTGGTTTAGTTGTTTATAACAGATTTTTCCACTTTTAGTGAATCGTTAGGGAAACGCCAAGAACTTAATGTTGCAAGCAATTTATTTTTTTAAAATGCCAATATTACCCTTGGAGATATTACAGAAAATCTCCCTCTCTCCACAAAACCACACAAAAAGACAGTCGTACCAGCCCACGCCACCCCCACACTGCGACAGAAAACCACCCCAACCCACACCGCTGCTGGAGCCCCCTAAAATTCACTGCCATCGAAACCCTAGCCCAACGCATAACACCACCATTCTTCCCCATACCCAACCCCTTTGGAACCCTCCATAAAAACCACAATCAAACCAGCCACACACTCTGCCAGAAAACCCACCAACCCACACTGCTATTGGAGCCCTTAAAACCCAGCTCCATCGGAACCCCAACCCAACACATAACACCACCATTCACCCCTCCCCATACCAAACCCCCTTGGAACCCGTCTTGCAGAATCCAGACCCATGAACCAGAAACCTAGCCATGGGTGTATGGTTGTGGTTTTGGACCTTGTGGTGCAGCAGTGGCAATGGTGTAGGGGCCATTGTGTGTGTGATGGTGCGATGGTGCTTTGATGTTACGGTGGTTTTTTTTTTTTTTTTTTTTTTTTTGGGGGCGAGGGTGGGGGGGGGGGTATGGTCTGTGCAAAAGCATTCGGAATTTCGAATGATTGTTGTAAAGAAAATGGTTTAAAAATAAACAATTCTTTTTTACCAAAATATTATTTAAAACTCATCCAAATTAATTAGGAATTTTATTGAGGGAGTATTATGAATATCTCACAGCTCAATTAGGAGGACATTATAGTCATTTTAGAGTTTCCATTTTTCATAAAGGATCAACATGGAAGGACAATGTTATTTTTCAAACAAGAGGGGATCTAGTTATTAATTGACTAAACCTCAAGCGAGGTGGATATAATTTAGCCTTTTTGAATCGATAGTATGACATTTGTATCGTAAAACAAGCAAATGTATATAGGTGCTAATAATTAACTCAAATAAATTAAGAGATAGAAAAACAACGTTGAAAGTGAGAGAGGAATAGAGATATATTTCATTCGGTGTATCTTTCATTCAAAAGTTCAAGGCCTATTTACCGGCAAAACATATAGTGTAAAACCCGAAAAAAAAATTATTATTATTATTATTATTAAAAATTCTAATTAAAAGGGTAAAATAATAATTAATTATTAAATTATGGGTCAAAAATATAAATTTCAAAAAAAAAATTATAATATATATATATATATATGGAAGACTTTGTCTTCCACTTTTGCTTTTGTTGGAGAAACGGCGAGAGTGGGAGAGAGAAAAGTGAGTTTTTTTTTTTTTTTTTTTTCTCAGATCTATAAAGATTGGATCGTTTAATCGCTTCGGGTGAAGAACTAAAGTTACTCTACTCAGCGAGAGCTACGTAGCCACACCAAATATTGTATTTTTCTCCGAAAAAATATCAAAGCCGATAATCTAGGCCAAAAACTTATAAAGCTAAATTTGGACTTCCTTGGCGTTCTAGTAAGTGGGCTCACGCTACGAGAGGTAGGGTTTCCCCTATTTAGATTTAATTTCAACTTAAAATATGACATATGAAATGAATAGACTATGGGTGTATATCACATGTTAGGTCTTGACTAGTGTGACTAGTGGGTCAAATATAGGATTTATAATTAACCTTGCGATTAATAAAATTCTATTGTGATTAATTTGCTGTAAGTTAATGTTAGTGGTTTAAAGCATGTTAATTGTATATTAGCATTACTTTATATTTTAATGTCAGATCAAGTTTAATAAAATTATTAACTTGTTATGTGATTATGAAATAATATATATGTTAAATGATTATTTAACATATGATTATTTTGGTGGACTTGTGCTTATGTTTATATAATTAATAAACATGTTGTCATGTTACAAGTCATAGCATGCTAGTTGTGTAAATTGATGTGCTCTTTAGGTGTTTGATTAAATGCCTAGGTGAATACAAGTATGTTAGTTGAGTTGATTATCTTACATAACATGCTTGAAATCATGTTAAAATGTAATTATATTGTATTCATTATGTAATGAACATTGTATTGCATTATGCATGAGTTGCACTACATTCATGGGCATTGACATGGGTGGGAGTGTATGTATGATATGAAATCAATCACCACGTAGGTGGTTGATCGTGGACTCGGAAAAGTCGCACCAAGGTTTGGCTGAGTCGCATAGAAAATTAAATGGATAAATGTGTTGGGGACAGCAAGATGGGCTAGATTCTCCCTCGGGTGCAAGACCCGCTTACTTGGTTTATACACTTTCCGATGGTGAAATTCCAGAAAAGTGTAACGGCGGAAACGGATCCGCAAGTGGGATGTCCTGAAGATCCGTTGATGGTTGGTGTCCCATTGGTGTAATACCATAAATTACCTCCCCACAAAGACACAAAAAAATTAATTAATTAGTCATTGAATATACATAACACCAATGATGGGGCTTGGAATGTCTGGATACATACGCATGACATTGCTTGTATTATGGGAGCTCAGGATGGGGCTCGGGGTTGGTATTGCTTGCGTGAGTCTCATCTCATGGCATGACATGATTTATGACATTCAATCATAATAGACATATTTGAATGATTGTTGCATATGACATTCCATATGCATTTAAGTTGAGAGATATTCTTTATAGGAGTTACTCTATTGAGCGTTGACTCACCCTTTATTGGAACATTTTTCAGGTGTCCACCCAAGGTGAGGCCATGGGCTTGCTTTGACGACAGAGTTGGTCTGTGGCTCTTATTTTGACATTGTAGTCCCTTGTTTATACTTACTTTTGGTCTTGTATAATTTTTGTAACAAACATTTGTTTATATTTACAAAGGCATGTATATGAGACTCTTTTGGGACATTTATTCTTTTACGAATAAATGTATGTACTGATGATGATTATGATAGTATTCGAGACTATACAATTGTGAATGGATGGATAGACCCGGTATGG